GAACCATACACGCGGTCTCATATCATCCGCCCAGGCCCTACGCCAGATCTTCATCGCACCCTTTCGCTCCTCCAGAGTCGGCATTCTTGCATTCAGGCCTCTTCAGAATGTTCCCCAGGCTCGATTTTTCCAACAATCCCGCTGCCTAAAGTTTCGAGGACACCGACCACCCGTTGAAAAGCCCCCGATGAACGAAGCTATCCGTGCGTCATTTGTCCAGGTTGTGAACGATGAAGGGGACCTCGACCCTCCGACCAGACTTGAGGATGTCCTGGAAAGCTTTGACCACACCGAGTTCTTCCTTCTTCAGGTGCAAGAAGGAGACCGTGAGAACCCGCCGGTTTGCAAGGTCTACAATAAGAAAGAAGTGCGAGCATATGAAAAGGCCAAAGCAAAGTCAGCTCGCGCATCCAAGGTTATATTCAAACAAATTGAGCTGAACTGGGCAATCGATGCCCATGACCTGTCGCACCGCCTGAAGCAACTCTCGACCTTTTTGGAGAAAGGCCGTAGGGTGGAAATTCTATTGACCACCAAAAAGCGCAAGCGTAATCCTACAGTGGATGAGATCAAACAGGTCATGCAGAGTGTTTTGGATACAATCAGAGAGGCCGGTGGAACTCAGACCAAGGCAATGGAGGGAGAACCGGGGAAGCAAGTCAAGATTACTGCACAGAAGAATACCTAGAGGAGATGACTGGTCACGTGTATATTATATGGCATTGAGCAGTACAACATGGCGTCGGTTGTGTAGTGCTGTTTGTTATTACTGTTAACACTATCCAAGAATTTGAATTGTCTTGGATCTGTATATCATGATAGCCGATGTCACTCGTACATACTACCTCACAAGTAGCCCTGGAGAGCTAAAAGAGTTGGGATCCTTCACATCGAGCCAAGTCACACAAGTCGTCAGAAAAATATGCATGAAATTGATGGTTCATTATCCCCATGTTCAACACCGACTCTGTCCGCAATTCGAGGCCTGTGATTGGTCGATGACTAAGCCGCCCTGAGGATCCATCCATCCCGGAAGCCATCTTACTAGAAAATTTGGTGTTGATCTGGGCTTCTTCTCTCCCATCCTTACTTCATCTCTTTAATCTCTCCTTTTTGTTCTTGTTCCATCGTTTTTGTTTCGATTGAACCAAGATGTCAACCATCTCCCGTTCATTGAACCTTCTGGCGCGCACTAGCCGGTCCTCCCTGCTGCGTCCGACTACCGTCAATCCCGTCCACCATGTCTTCAGCAACAAGGTGGCCGGTCGTGGATTGGCTACTGCTTTCGAGCGTACCAAGCCCCACGTGAACATTGGTAAGGCCCTGACGCTGGCGCGTAATCCATCTCCGTGCTAAAAGGTTATTCCAGGCACCATTGGTCACGTCGATCACGGCAAGGTAAGCTATTCGCGACTTGTTCCGACTTCGCCATCCGAACATGAAATTTAACCTGTCCGTCCATAGACTACCCTAACTGCCGCCATCACCAAGTACCAGGCCTCTAAGGGTCTTGCCAACTTCCTCGACTATGCCTCCATTGACAAGGCCCCTGAGGAGCGCAAGCGTGGTATTACCATCTCGACTGCCCACATTGAGTTCGCAACTGAGGACCGTCACTACGCCCACGTCGACTGCCCCGGTCACGCCGATTACATTAAGAACATGATTACTGGTGCTGCCAACATGGATGGTGCTATTGTTGTCGTTGCTGCCTCCGATGGTCAGATGTATGGCCCCCAGTCGAGAAAGCTAGTTTGAAGAGTGTGCTGACGCAAATCACACAACAGGCCCCAGACCCGTGAGCACTTGCTGCTTGCCCGTCAGGTTGGTGTTCAGAAGATTGTTGTGTTCGTTAACAAGGTCGACGCTGTCGAGGACCCTGAGATGCTTGAGCTCGTCGAGCTTGAGATGCGTGAGCTGCTCTCCTCTTACGGATTCGAGGGCGAGGAGACTCCTATCGTCTTCGGCTCTGCCCTCTGCGCTCTTGAGGGACGCCGCCCCGACATTGGTACTGAGCAGATTGAGAAGCTCATGAAGGCCGTCGACACCTGGATTCCCACCCCCGAGCGTGATATGGATAAGCCTTTCCTCATGTCGGTTGAGGAAGTCTTCTCTATCCCTGGCCGTGGTACTGTTGTCTCTGGCCGTGTCGAGCGTGGTCTCCTGAAGAAGGATACTGAGGTTGAAATTGTCGGTGCCACCGACTCTGGCAACCCCATCAAGACTAAGGTTACCGATATCGAAACCTTCAAAAAGTCCTGTGATGAGTCCCGTGCTGGTGACAACTCCGGTCTCCTGCTCCGTGGTATCCGCCGTGAAGACATCCGCCGCGGCATGGTCGTTGCTGCCCCTAACAGCACCAAGGCCAACAACAAGTTCCTCGTGTCCATGTACGTTTTGACCGAGGCTGAAGGTGGTCGCCGTACTGGTTTCGGTGCCAACTACCGCCCCCAGGTCTACATCCGTACTGCTGGTAGGTTCAATTTCCACTGATCTAATGTCAAATAAATATAATGGATGCTAACTATGCTCCAGATGAGGCTGGTGATCTGAGCTTCCCCGACGGTGACATGGCCAGACGTGTCCAACCTGGTGACAACGTTGAGATGATCCTCAAGACCCACCACCCTGTTGCTGCCGAGCCCGGTCAGCGCTTCAACATCCGTGAGGGTGGCCGCACCGTCGCCACTGGTCTGATTACCCGTGTCGTCGAGTAAATGGTCCGCTCACACCCACGGCCAGGCAGACGAACTGTCTGACCCTTGTATTATGAACCCCTTTTCTTTAACATTTTGTTTTGTTTTGGCACCTTTTATTCCACAGCGCGGGAATCATCGATCAGCACGAGGGATCCGGGGGTAATCCGGAGTTTTCGCTTGAATCTTGTTCATGTACCTCTACTGTCTTGGAGATGTAGTCAGCTTTTCCTTCATTTCTCCACTCCCGTGAAAATGTATTCAGACCAAATTCTTCCTAGGCTCATATATAATTTCAGTCCAAGTTCAAGTCAATGTGCAGGCGAGATTTCGCTCCCCGGCCTTCGGTTGTCTATTCCATAAGAAGAATGAATATAGAAGTTAGGTACATACGTACCTAATCGAATTATATCAACGCCTGGTTCACGCAACTTCCTCCGCTTCTATGCCGTAGTACGACATATTATTATTGTTTAGTATAGGGTGGCGTAAACGGGTTGAGCTCTGTTACATGTCACTGTATGTAACATATTTCCTCTGCTGGGTGGGGCTTTCCTATCTTAGCTGCCGCCGCTTTTACGAGGGCGCTTAGGGTCAGGCTCACTGAATAAATTTCAGTCCAGGCTCAGACTCGTGAGCTGCTCACGTGATAAAACCGTAATAGTAACAAACATACTCTCTTTCCCCATTAGGACTAGTAGCAATCTGTAGAACAAAGAAAGAAGCAAACAAAGAAAGCAAGCATGTATATAACTATACGTACCGGATATTCCCTGGCGGGTGGGGCTTTCCTATTTGAGCTGCCGCCGCTTTTATGAGGGTGCTCAGGCTCAGGCTCACTGAGTAGATGTCAGCACGGGCTCAGATCAGTGATCATACTCAGATCAGTCACGTGCAGGATGACTGATGCTCAGTGAGTGCTCATTAGATGCTCTCTGATTACTTAGTGATGCTCAGTGTCCAATCAGTAAGTAACACTGATGCACTCAGCCCACCTCAGACTATACCTAGAAGGGATTAGCCCCTATAGGGTCGTTTATACTATGATAGTTAGTTCGTTGATAGCATTGCTGCTACCCTTATTTTCCGGAGCACTATACCTTATCAAGAAAATACATTATGACGAAGGGGCGTAGGAAAGAGCGGCGAACTCTATCCGTTTCATGATATCTTCCTTCCGTCTTCTAATTTAGAGCGGCTCGAGCTTAAAGTCCCAAATATAAAGCGATCGAGTATCTCCCAGGACAAGTACGGCGGTGGCTGGGGGATGCGGGGTTCCACCAGACCAGCTGTGAAGAATTTGTGCTACCCCTGAACCCTTGGAGGTTGCTGCCCATCGACGATAAGACATCCATCCAATGGTACAGAACAGCCTTTGCCGAGAGCATCCTGCCCCTCTGTATGGCGCCGTTCAGCCGTGTGTATGGCTGGTCATATGACGATATCCGGTCGCTTACAACTGCTGCGGTGGCAGAAGCTCTGGATCCAAGCAGGAACCTTTTCTACACCCTGCGTGTATACAAGGCGCGGAGACCTTTGGACGAGGGAACTGTTTAGTCCGTCTAAGGATGTGGCATGACGGTCGTCTCGGGCTTCATGTATAGAAAGGGAAACACATGAGTTCGATACCGCTGATCAATATTTGGGGTGGGCGTTAAGTGAGACTGAGAAGGCAACGCATATCGACATTCTTTCCAATGGGCCATGCTGGTGATGCAGGCAGTTGCATCATGCGGAGCCAAGTGTCTCAGCCAGACTCCATGAGGCAAGGGTTTATGCATCCTATACCGGTATCTCGGTGGTACGCGTATACCTTTGGTTGATCGGCTCGTGCCGCTGTGCGCTATTGCGATGGGTGATACACCTTGTGTCCTCGTCGATCGCTTGCAGAGCATTTTGGCATGCTTGTAAGACTGATTGGTGTCCGGCGCATCTCCAGTCAGGCTGCTGGTCTCTGGATTGTTGGATATGAGCATCTTCCGAGACTGAAGGGCATCCCATTTATAGAACAAGGCAGCACTCATCGCTCAGCTCTGTCGGCTCGCCAGAGCACTGTTCCGAGTGGCATATGCCAGCCCTGATCAATTGGTGTACAACAACCGATTGATCCTGTCAGGCATACTCTGATGCCATGGTATGCTTCAAGTGAGGCTAAGCCGACATGGATATTGGTTCAGCCTCGGACAGGGTGCTGGCAATGGCGAGTATAAATATCCCTTCAATGACCCAGGCTGCGGTCAGCTTCCAATCCATCTCAACATACGTCGGTCAAGCCCAGGGGTCTCTCATTCTCATACCATCATCATGCCTCTCTTCATTCCTCTCTTTGTTCAGCTCACGCCCCAGTCCCAATCATTCAATTTTAACAATCCTGTCTTGGTGGAAGTTCAGGTTCCGTCCGAAGCTCGGGTTCCGTTCCATGATTACCGTCAAGTCTCTGAGGACATCGGCGGCTTGTCAACTTTGCCATACCCCCTTCCTGGGTCAAGCATTCGTAAGCGGCAGCTTCGCGTTCTTTATCGTATACCCTGACAATTTTCAGAGAACCCGATCGATGTCGAAGCTCTCAGTGACACGGAGGCCAGCGCCAGTGTTTATTCCCATGATTTGCACCGTCCCGGTGACAGTATCGGTCTGTAGCAGTGGTACTCCTGCTGGAGACGATGAACTGATAGTGGGCGGGCCAGAGAACCCGATTGAGATCGATGCGGTCTCTGTGGGGACGAGTGATGCGACTGAGCTCATTGCCAGCTTACCAGCAAGCCCAGCCCGGACTGATCTTGCACCGGACGGTGAGAAACGGATTGCCTTTAGAGTATTGCATAACTAAGAAAGCACAGGTCGGACCCTGGAAGCATACTATGAGTGCAAAATATGTTATAGTAAGGTCGTCGATCTGGCACTTGGCTGTGGCCACACTTACTGCTACGATTGCTTTAACTATTCTTCCACAACTCTGTCCTCGCGAAAGCGAGAGGAAGCCAAGAATTGGCGCACGAGTATCTGACAAGCCGACGATGCAAGCCATCTTGTTTTGCCTGCAGGAAGGTGCTTCCTGGCCAGTACACGGACCCCGACGATCGTGCTCATCTCGAAGGCTCCCATTTCCTATTGTGTTGCCGTTGCCAGGAACCTGGAAGGTCGCATTGCTTCATTGACGACTACATGGTGCAGGGGATTAGAATGACGATGCTTTGATTCTGGTCAAACGCATGCTCTAATACTACGGGGAGTTGCTCGCCGTGGGTGATAATTCTTCCTGTGGGCTACGCCGGCCTGTGTATTCTTAGGCCACGTGGAAAGCCATGAGTGCCAGGGGTTAGCCACTCGGGGTGTAGCCGCTGGCCCTCTTCGCATCATTGGTGTGATTGACCTTGGCTGGACGAGTTAAAAAAAATTGCCGCTTACCACCTGTACCACTGTTGGTCGAGACGAGGCCCTGAATCAAGGCTTCAAATAGCAGAGAATAATGCATATTGTAGTATTTACACATATCAGAATTAATCTAACATCCCTCTGCATTTGTATGAATCAAACCCTCCAGGCTAGGTTTACTACAGCTAATCAATGCCGCGTCCTAATCCAAACCTAGTCCTTTTACTTAGTAATATTGATTCTTAGTAACTACTACGTGTTTTGCTAGGAATACATTAGCTTGATCATTCTACCCAGTAGTTCTGTCAGAATCCAGCATACCATGAGATCACACTGTGCCGGACGCATCTAGTGTGGTCACACTTTTTGTAGTTAGCGGTCATTTTCATTCGACGAGTTCTTTATAATTAAAAGTCAGCGATATCCTGATTGGCTAGCGCAGTTCGCCGTTCTGATGATCCCTTAACTCTTTAAGATGACCGGAGTTCTTCTCATGAACTTCTGGGCTTTGTGCGGTCTGCCGCCGGAGGTAACCCACCAATGCATCTGCCACAGCATTTTCCTACTGGGGAAAGAGACCTGATGGTAGTGCTGGGCTTTAGGGGAGCGTAATCAAAAGTTTGAACTCTATGGTCACTAGCGCTGTAATCCGTACGTCTCTAGAATGCAAATTTGCGTTCTAGATACCGAATGTGGATTAGCGGTATCATTCAATATTGACACATGTTCAAACCCAAAAAGACAGATTATCGCGAGCGACACAGAACACCTCCCCAGGCAGCCAGATTTGCTCCCTCTTACTTAAGACTCGAAGCAGCACAGTCAGTGATGACCAATGGATACATAGTTCTGCACTTCAAGTTTGCCAATTAATCAATATTGTGCAGCACCATGGCGGGTTTGATGTCATCGGCTGGGGCCTATATGCGCCGATTATGGAAGAACGAGTCTCCATCTGTTCGAGTTTGTCTATTTGGATCCGGTGGAGCTGGAAAGACTACCCTCCTATACCGACTCATCGAGGGTAGGCAGGTCACCACAGTCCCGACGATTGGCTTCAATTGTGAGTAACATATCTGCACCCACATCAAACTGTGCGCTGCTAACGACACAGTAGTAGAAAATCTTCATGTCCCATCAGAAGGTGTGGATTTTGAGATCTGGGAGTGGGCGGGAGGGTGTTCTTCGCTTCCTTTATCGGTGTTTGAGCATGTAGTCCACTCTGAAGTGATCTGCTTGTTTATCATCGACGCATCGGATCAATACGACTACGTCAAGTATGATCTCGATCATGTGATAAATAGAACCGAGGAGGCAAAGCACTTTGCGGTCATATTCAACCACAAAGTCCAAAACAGCCAGGTGGATGCCACGGCGTTGAAAAAGATGGTCAATGACAGAATCCGCTCGCGCCAAGGTTCCGGCCTGTACGGACCGACATGCGCAGTGTACGACGACCTCGACAGATTCAATGCCGCGACCGGTGAGCAGTTGGACATTTTATTGTCACGCCTGATTCACGTTGCGAAAACAAATAAACCCCATTTGCGGGAGGAACCGGCCACGAAGGTCGTGCTACCGAATTCGAGTATTCCCAAACCTTCCAAGCAAGAGCTCTTGCGGAGGATCGAGGACCGATCCAAAGAATCAGTCCATCAGCTGCCCCCTGATCAGTTCGTTAAGCAGATGATCGCTGGGACATTATCGACTTGGGATCATATGTGTCATCTACGGGCTGGGTTCCTTTGTTTGATGGAATCCATCATGGAAGAAGACGTCGTCTTTGCTGCAGCGGAGCTGTTCCTGCGGCGCCTGGATGCCATGTTGCGTGCTAGCCCGGGCAAGTTCCGCAATACGTTCCACCGGTAAGTAGCGCCCAGAGAAACGACATCTGGTCAATTCTGACGGTGTCTAGAACCCTCACAATATTCTGGATGCATCAAATTCACGTTCAGATGTTAGTTGCCCGCCAAAAGACCGGCGTCTTGCCTTCTTATAACTCTTTCACTGAATTCTTGCGGCAATGCCCCGAACTCATGGACGGCCAGGGGTGGGACCAATACTGGACGAAAGAAATCCTCTTCGGCCACGAGGCTAGAGAAGCCTGGGTATTGCCGGACCTGAAATCACTAGCCCGGTATACCCCTTCGTCTCAACCGAACAAGCCGAAGAAGAAGGCCCAGGCTCCTCGGACTAACATCCAAATCTATCAACGGTTCGCATATGGGATCGTGAAAACTGTCAAGTCTACCGACCAGCGGCGCGCCACGATCATTAATGACACTCTCCCCATCATCCAGTCGTATCTGACCCAACTGCGTGCCCAATCCCAGTCAATCGGAAGTAATGAACCTTACTCTTTGACCCAAGCGTATTTTTGGATCCAAATGATGCACGTTGCGGTTGCGTCTATCCCGCCTGCTGTATCAGTGGACATTACCAAGCTGAGCTTTGAAAGCTTTGGTACCCTCTTTCCAGATTTAGTCGGTGCGGAGGACCTGTGGACAGAATACTATACACCCCAGCAGTGGAACTCCGTGGAGGCGAGGATGAGGACAGTGCTTCCACGCAAGAAAAACCTTCCTAACTTTTTCCCGCCTCCGTCTCAAGCTCAGATGGACAAAGCGATTGCGTCGCGCTTGGATGAGAAGTATGCAGGCCCTGACGAAATCACATACTTCATGGATGGCCGGCCCAGTGCCGAGGAGCTATTCCTAAGGGTGCGGTGGGCCGTCAAGTCAACCACGGTCACGGACGGGAAACACGACGAATATGATGGAACAATGGATAGTCACGCAGCGCTCTTGCGGTATGTATTCAATCGACTGATCCTGACAGACTCAACCAGCACCAGTGGAAAGCTAGTCTCTCAGGCGGTATGGGAAGAGATGTCGTTTCTCCACCGTAAAGGCCAGTATACGTGCGCGGTCTTCTGGGCTCGGATGATCCTGGCAGCATTCGCTAGGACGGATGCAGCGTTTCGGAAGAACGTAGATGGATACCGCGGTATGGTGGAAGAGACAGAAATGGAAGCAGCAGAGACACGCTTGTTTTCTCATTTTCTTTCTGCCAGTATGGAACTCTGCTGGGAACGTTTGTGGGCAACATATTACTCGGATGAGATGTGGAAGAGCAAAGACGCGGCAGTTGGATATGTCCTTCCTGACAAGAGACCGCTTCCAGCATATATTGAGGAGAGATTGAATTGATCTTGATGGCCTTGAAATACCTAGACAGGGGTTATGGTGATCACAATCGAATGATTATATGGCGGGTTTCGGATATTCTGATCGTTCAACCGGCGCAGTGTTCGACAGTTTGATTATTGCTACAGACCTTTATCCTTTCCAGGCGTATCGGAATTAGTTTCTGCTCTTCCCTATCGCCGCTGTGCTATGTACATATTACCAGAGGTTGCAGTCTATTCCTGCACATGACCTGAGTTGATCAAGTCGGCTTTTGCAATCGTACCGTTATGTTCTGGGCTGTCATGACAAGTGCAAAACAGGCCTCGGACCGGCATGCATGGTTTGCCTCGTGAGCTAATCTCCCGACCTCTTGGGACGACATAGCAATCCTGTCTGCTTCCTATACATCGCTTAGCAAGCTGGACAAGATTTTGGTGCCGGATTCTTACTTCTTACCTCATGGCATAGAAGCCTTCCACGCAGCCACGACAGAGCAACCATTTTTGAAATCAAGTATGAAGGAGCTTCTTTCAAGGTAGTTGATTGGCCTCTTAAGATCAGACTTCCGAACACCACCGTATTCGTCTGGCTTGCAGGACACATTTGTCTTAAAATATGTTAGAGCCCCGGCATGGCGTGTAAGTTGAAGATCCTGGAACTTACTATGGTTAGATCACCCAAGTGGACTATGTCGGACACAGAGGCCAGGCACATGATGAGTAGGTTGAGCTTCATGTTGGAATGTCTGCATGTCCCTGCCCACAGCTGGGTGTCATAGAAAGTATATCAATTACCCATCGGTCTCTCTCCGACATGCAACAAGGGTTTGAGTGTTGGCGGCAACACCATACGAACTATATGGGTCTAATTGTGGGGAGACGTGGTTGCATTCTTACAAGACACGAGTCATACGAGCTCCAAGACAGCCAATGACAAGCGAGCATCTCGGAGGAACAGCCATCCTGTTCGGCCTCGCGGCTGGTGTAAGCGCTGTGGTGTGGCCGGTGCTTCATTGTGCATTAGTCTGAACCCAAATATAATGAACGTCGCATGTTAATATCAACATTCTGACAGCAGCTGCCTAAGTAGATGGATAGCATAGATAACACATGAACTATTTGAAAATACCGGAGGTAAAAGAAAAGACGAAACAAGAACAAGTACGAAAGCGAAAGAGAAAAATTTGGAGGTTTGCAAAACCTGATCGCTCTGCCAGTTCACTTAGATATCCTTCTCGGGAAACTCCAACTCCGTTGCAGATTGAGGTGCCTGCCCGAGTTTATCCAATGCTTCCGTCACTTCCAGCATCCAGGGATGCATGCTGGCTAGGTATGTCCGTAGATAGTCCAATGTACTGCTATCTCTCAGCTTGGTCTATGTGGTGAAAAAGTGGGTTGATGCGGGGTTTATACCCTTGTAAGGTTTCTATCCTGCAGGTCATTTAGAACCAGTGGAGCGCAAGCCTTAACACGATTATACGTACCCTTTCTCCAAAGCGTCAACTCGGGCCCGCATATCTTCCAATTCTTTCTCACAGGAGTGAGCCTCGGCTTCGCCGGTCGAACCATCCAAGGATGGCAAGGGAGGGAAATAATTCAACAAGTCCGAGGAGTCTGAGAGGAGGAGCGTAGGGTCGATATCAGGATCACAGAGTGGATCATATTGCTGGAGGTACTCGATTCCTGGCAGGAACTGGCTGGCATCTTCGTATTGTCCTTCCATCGTTGTATTCGAGGTTATAGAAATTGGTTGGATCACCCGGCACGCCTGGGGCTTTTTATATTAACAGATGGCTTTCCCAGCGTGGCCCTAAGCCTGATAACCGTGGCTATCCCGGGCGGCTCCATCAGAGTCCCAAACAATGTCCGAAAATAGCGCTTACAGGGATATATCTCTATTAAAACACCAACTACCCGCCAATGTTTTCGAAAAGCAGCCAACCCGCGACCTACTAGGCGTGAAGAGACCCATTAGGTAAGACCATATATGTTGCACCCAAATTGTGCTAATTATGTGTTATCAAGCATTCACCATGACTAGTGAGCCCAGTCTGCCAAATATCCTCGCTGAATTACGTGAGATGCAGCGTCTACGCATCGAAGATAAATCCTTGATTGATGATCTGCGGAGACAAAATGATCGGCTCAAATCCATGCTGCTACGATACAACAGAGCACTACAGAAGTATCTGGATTTATTGTGATATTACTGCTCGTACAGCTCTAAGTGTTTTGAATCAGTTTTTAGACATTGTTGAAACTGTACAGCTACAGCCACAAAAGATTCGATCTGATCATGGCTCAGAAAGAGGTCGTTTCCAGAATATCTATCTACAGCTTCAGCAGGCGTACGACCCTTGCTCTCTATAAGTGGCGGGTAAGTTATTATACTTCTTGTACAGGATCAATTTCTAATAAAATAGACATACTTCCGTATATTGAAGGATGAAGGTCTATTCAGCAAAAGCTGTACTGCTGATCAGATTGCTTTACTTAGTATTTACATGCCTATGATTCGTACAGAGATCTATGGTTATGTTGAACTTTGGAATGTCCATCAAATCCGGAAGCAACGGAATCGGCCAAATTCTATTGCTGGAAAACCATATATACTTTATCATCATCCAAAAGAAGGTGTACGAGACTACGGGCTTCCTATTAAACAGGAAATTCTGGATGTACAACGACAATCTATACATGGATTCGGTACGTAATCTCTAAATATCTTCTGTACAGCCTAAATACTAACTAATATAGATATTGATGAGTATCTACCAGCAAAAACTCTTCAATTCTGCCGTACAGCATTGCTGGGGATTGGCTTTGACCATGAAAAGCCACCACCACTTCAGCCAGAGGATGAGGCAGCCCCTTTTCGTACAATCTATTTGGAGCTAAGAGAGATTATTGGCTTTTATATAGATCTCTTTGTTGAGCCTTTTCTTGGCTCATCATCCCAACCTCGGACCAACAGCTGGCCGACGTTCAAATCCCGAGGTGGAATAGTGTTGTACAAAGAAAAAGTTAGTATCCGACAAGATGGTTGGCAGAAGGCTGATACTGGCCTCATCACGTGATACCTACTCCGGAACCTACTCCAGAGGGAGTATATCGGGAGTATACGATGTCGAATACCAAGTCCGAATACATGGTAGAAACCAGGTAATATACCGGAAACATCATGTGACATTAGGTACCAGGCATACCATACAAAAGTGCATATTACAGTTAGTCATCATGGTCCGCACAGATTGTTGAAATAGCGGGTTTTGTCATTTTAGTTAGTTAGAGTTGTCAACATTGGTCATTTATACCATACATTGTTCGTACACCAGCTTTCCGTCATTTCACCCTAAAAACCCCCTTTATAGAGAAAGAACTACGTCGGTAAGCTTTATCAATTAAAGCTTTACTTCGTATAAGATCTCGGAGCCCACCTAGCCCGTCAGATCGTACATTAAACCAGCTTATAAAGGGCTTCCGTCTTATAATACAAGGTGCTATCTGTTACGCACTAGCTAACTGGTCACAGTTAGGTTAGATGGGTTCAGGGTATACTTGCCTTAATACTCCTCGAATGGTCCAACGTCAATGATCCGGTCTCAACTGAGCTAATGCCGCGCAGGGCCTTATAGTAGCCTAAGTCCTTTTGAGCGATCAAGGAACTGATGCCAGGTAGAGCGCCGAGTAGATCTATACCGGGGTATTGGTCTGCTCGTGAGTGTTGTCAAGTTATAATCAAGTAAAGAGTCACAGTAATCCAAAAGGTAAACACAAGTAACAATGTATGATTGAAGACGAAGAACTAAACTAGATACATGAATGAGGGTCCTTATATATCCCTGGGTTCTTCCTATATAGAATGGTAGATGGTAGAATAGTAGAATCGCAATGGCGGATTCTACTGATCTACTTACTACCCTTCTACTACCTGCATAATCACGTGTTGCTGAGCAGCGGTTGTCTAGTACGTAGAGCAACCTATGTAACGGAAATCCTCTGCGGGGTGGATCCGCTCAGGGCGGATCATGCTCTTGCTTAGTGAGTTTGCACGTGATCTGCTGACAGATATCCTGGTTGGCTCTCGATGGCCCATTGGTGTGCCTGGTGGGTCACCACTGATTGGTGACGGATAGGTCCGTAACACTATCTTACTCGCTAACGAAAACAAGGAATTACGCGCCGCCAACGAGAAGTAGAAGCAAAAGCGTACTAGATCCCGGAGGCAGATACCCGCTAAAGAAGGCCTCTTAGTTTAAGAAGCCTCTGTATTAATTATGCAGCAATAGGAAGCAACTGAAGCACCTCCCCCCGGCCCCGGCATACCTAGAGAATCGGCTATCTAGCCACGTACGCGCCCCCCCCCCCCCCCCGGGGTGTGGAATATGCAGATTACTAGGATATAGAAGAGAAACATGTCCAGATAGACCAGTTAGTTAGTTAATTTAATTTAATGGCGTTATGGTTGGGATAAATGCATTTAAATTTAATAGGTTGGGTGGGGTGTCCAGCTCGGGGGTTTGTCCAGCTCGGTAGTGAAATACGTTATAAGCTTTTAATAATATCCTAATTACTTACTAAGCCTAACGCTCTTTTAGTCGAAGTTTTAACTTCTTTATTTTATTAGATCGGCTATAATCCTCTAGTACTTAGGCTAGGTCCTTATCCGTATTATTATTAGGTACTTAATATCGGGCCTAGTAGATACGTTCTATATTCGATAGGTCTATTAGATATAGGCTATTTAATAGCCTAGGAAGTGGAAGAAGAGAGATCAATATACCGATCTCTAGGATAGCTGAGGGGGTGTGTCGGAGTATGAAGACCGGTATACCGGAGGATTGATTATCCTATATGTTTTGTAATTGCTAGGAAACTCGATATAGAAATATAGAGAGTTGAATACCATTGATTAGACCCCCTATTTTACAATACCACTTGTTGGAACAGATTAATGTTAGATTCGTGTATATCGACAAACTGTGCAAAAACATATGTAACCAGGAACAGGCCAGGACCTATTAACTAATGGCCATGAAATATTAGTCAGGCTGCGGATGACAGTATGCTAACCGGATTCAGGCACTCTTACATGCAGGTTGATATACGCGATGGCGAAAAGGGGCGAATACTGCCCCACTGCATCGGATCTTCGATATCCGAGACTCCTCCCAGTGATGCTCTGTCTATCAGATCGCCATGTCGAGCGGATGCGGATGTGCCGTCGGGAGTAAATGATCGTCGATGGGGCCAAAAGGACAAAGAAACGTCTACTAGCTTGATAATTCGAATGCGCCTTTCGGGCCGAACCCCCCGAGCTCTTGTCTGGGTATATAACCTCCCCTCCAACACTCGCGCAGGACGCTACACCATCTAATAAGCCGTCTTACCATCACCATGTTCTTCGGCAAATCCCTCCCCTTCAACCCCGAGCAGGACATCCCCTCGCTCGCCGGCAAAGTCATCCTAGTGACCGGCGCCAACATCGGCCTGGGCAAGCAATGCGTCCTGGAATACGCCCGCCACCAGCCGTCGCTGATCTGGCTGGCCGCGCGCACCATCGACAAAGCGCAGACCGCGGCAGACGAGATCCGCCAACAGGTCAAAAACGCGCCCCCCATCAAGCCCCTCGCCATGGACCTGTCCTCGCTCTCGTCCGTCGCCACCGCGGCCCGCACCGTCGTGGCCGAGTCCACCCGTCTCGACATCCTCATGCTGAACGCCGGCATCATGGCCGCCCCGCCGGGCCTGACGAGTGACGGCTACGAGCTGCAGTTCGGCACGAACTACATCGGGCACGCTCTCTTCACGAAACTGCTGCTTCCCGTCCTGGAAAAGACGGCTGCGATGCCGGACGCGGACGTGCGCATTGTCTCGCTCTCGTCGCACGGCCACGTCTACGCCCCCAAGGAAGGCGTGCTGTTCGACACCTTGCGCACCGACGCCGAGAGCTTGGGCGCTTACGGTCGCTACGGGCAGAGCAAGCTGGCGATCATTCTGTGGACGCGTCAGATGGCGCGCAAGTACCCGCAGTTTACGCTGGCGTCGATCCATCCGGGCGTGGTGCGCACGAATCTCATGAATAATGCGACGGGGAGCCCGTGGGTCATTAGGGTGTTGGGGAAGGTCGCGAATAAGGTCGTGACGCCGGTGGACCAGGGCGTTAGGAATCAGCTGTGGGCGTCTGTGGCTAAGGAGGTGAAGAGCGGGGAGTACTATGAGCCTATTGGGATTGGGGGCCCGCAGACGCCGAAGGGAGAGGATGATGTGCTGGGGCTGAAGGTGTGGGAATGGACGGAGAAGGAGCTGCAGGGGTATGAGTAGATAGGATAGGGATATTAATGAGGAATAGCTCTCCACTCTAGCACATCTCAAGATACATGAGGAGAATGTCAGACTGCTTGGGAAGATAATGGAAACGAATATATTGATTTTATGTTTAACAATGGATATACAATAGTTGTAATCTCGTTGAATCCCAGTCCATACTCATCCCCGGTATATCACCATCTACGCCGTGATCAAACCACTCCGCGCCGTCACCATGCGCGCAAAATCAGCCACCGACCCTGACTGCAAGATCTCAAAAATCGTCACCCGCGCCTTCATCACACTGCTCAGCCAGTTGCGCAACTCCACCGCCACCAGCGAGTCCACTCCCTGCTGCGACAAGGGCACATCTACCTCCACCTCCGCATCTGCTACATGGAACATGGCCCCGATCTTCCGCACCAGCGCGGACTGAACCAGCTCCCCTGACCTGGACTCGTTCCCGCCCCCTGCCTGGTGTGCCAGCTCATACACCAGCTCGTCCAGCCGATCCATCCCTGCGGGTGTGGTCTTGATGCCCGCAGACCCTACGGCCGCAGTGCCGACTTGCAGGGTCCCGAAGCGCCGGTCCCGCTTAGCTGCCATGTCATCAGACAAACCATCATACTGCGCAATGCAAGTGACGATCTGGCTGTCGTCGGGATGTCCACGCAGTGGATGGCGGATCGCCTCGCCGATCAGGCGCAGCATGCGCGAGAGCGGAAGCACAGTCGATCCCAGGGGCCGCATCGGCATAGACAACCATGGCGTCAAGGTCACGATATTAGAGTCAAGCTTGTAGTGCCGTCGATAGCTTATGAAACATTTGAGGCTCGAATTAAGTCGGTAGAAATTTCAGATGGGGTAGCAGGTATATAACAAAAAGGGCCCTAGCAATACTGAAGTAATTCAACATCAAGTGGATATAGAATCCGATCTAACCCTATGCCAAGGGTGGATTTTGCCGGTACCAAGGTATCGGGTTTCCAGCTCTTGTAGAAGCAGTCTTGGAAAAACTTTGCAAGGCGCTAGCGAACCTATTTTGGTGCATATTTTCGGCACGACCTCGGGTCTCAAGATATAATGAAGGGTATAAATGGATCACGGCGAGAATGACGTGCAGAGGTCCCTAATGTAAAACACCACCCCTATTTTGTTTGCCCCATAAATCGGAAACCATTTTAGCGGGTCGTCTTCTTTGGACTTGAGTAGGGCTTACGTTCTATGTAGCCACTTAATATCCGACCACCTAGACCACTATTTAGCGCCTCATCGATTTTCTAGACCAAATACACAGCGTACTTGATTTAACTGTAGAACACTGCATTGTTTCCCTACGGTGCTAGATTACTGTTCTCCGCTCAACATGTCCCATCGACCAGAAATACCGGATCTTATCGAGCCTCAATTACTTCCCCGTATATCTTTCACTTTCAAGGTCTGTTGATGGGAAAACTACATGGAAGATCACTTCCCACAATTTTTTGTTCAATAAACAGCTAGACTACTATAAGAAATTAGAACTGACTTGACCTAAGCCGATAGGCTCCAGGGCTGTTCACCTGGCCCTCATCTGAGGGTCTGTGCCAGGACGTGGGCCGCGGGTCTACGGCCGCTCAGGCGAAGATGTGGGGAAGCCGGTATTTTGTTGACGATTGACTGGGTAAAGCCTTGTCCCGGTGAACATGCCAAAGCCCATGGAAGCACCATAATTCAAGAGGAATAGATAGCCATCTCTCTTTCGGCAAGTATATGTTATATGTAAGTACTGAGTCAATCCTCATCGCTTTCATCCCTCGAAATACCCAATATATCCTGATATTCGTGCCAATTGAGTGGGGCAAATTAATTGGAACTTAAGATCTTCACACTTGATGCTTCGGGGAGGATAAGCCCCTTGGCACAGTAAATCTCTGTTGGCACAGTGGTTTAATCCACTTTTAGGGGTCGAACTCGACCTCGACCCCCGGGGAGGGCTTTGCTTATTATGGAATCTACCATATCTAGTAATTCAGCCATTTTATCTCCGCCATCCGGCCTTGGCCGCTACGTACCTTCTCAGTACGAGACGTCTTAGTCTGACAGGATCGCCATTCTCGCTATGGGCTATTTGGACCACAGTTGCGAGGCGAAATTGCAATGCGCCACCACAATAATATTTTTAGTGTGTGCTATGCAGGTATCAGAAGACTGAAGCTTGCAGACTATTAGAAATAGAGAAATACTCCGGACGAGATCGGCATATGGCTTAAGATGCATTTGCCGAGCGATTGCATCTCGGCAAACGTTTTGCGCAAAGCAGAACAAGTCTCACGTCTCGCTATAATCACATTTTGACTATGCAGAAAGTAGTAAGCGATTTCCGCACCGCTAACGAGAAGCAGAAACAAAGCATACTAGATCCCGGAGGTATATACCCGCCGAAGAAGGCCTCTCAGCTTCTCAATTGATTACTAAGGTAGCTGTACGTAACATATTTCCTCTGCCGGGTAGGGCTTTCCTATCTTAGCTGCCGCCGCTTTTATGAGGGCGCTTACTTTTGATAGCTAGGGGACCGTATGCCTGAACGTCAAGGACTTTGTCTTTGCCATATTTGATTTGAATATCGAGATCAATGACGTTAGGATTAGGATCTAGAGAGTTCACAGCCACATTCAAATAAAATAACTCATGCTAATCGGTCTTAGTCAGTTCACCGGATTTGTAGAGTCAAAAGCTTTGATCTAGCTCACCAAAAATGTAGCACCTCGGTTATTATAGTTTGCAAGCTCTTTTTCTGGGTATCTGTACGCATTTCCGAATGAAATTGCGTCTGCCAGACTTCTGTGATCGAAAAAGCCTTCGCATAAATTGATCATCGGATAGTCAGGAGAATCTAGGTCAGAGTTCGTCGCATATGCAAGTAGTTCCTTATCCACTTTAGCCTGGACATCACGCTTTGATGAACTGTAATGTATCAGTAAAATCACTCTATACTTATTCGGGATCAACAGAAAACAGCGCTCTAGTACTCCTGCGCAGCCCAAAACAACACTTCATTTCTAACTTCTGCATCCTCACTGGGTTTCCGATTACAGATTTAACAGTGATGGACACTAGCTTTGATTCATTACGAGCGCAGAAATCTTCAACAAAAAAAGAAGCCGATCCGGCCAAACATGGTAATTGTTGATGCCGTTCCCACGGCTCTGCGACTAATGTAATGACTGGGCTAGCGTTCCATGCTACCATATTTCCCCCAATGGCCTATCTGTATTCAAATGACTTCTTAGAGTCCGTCAGAAAGTTCGCATGCTTGTTCCTCTCACCATGTGTTGAAGGCATTGACATCAAAGCCCTCCCACAACAGTTTTCCATACTCAAGTTCGCGGACAATTTTTCCATCACTATTCCACCATATCGTAGATAGCATGATCATACCCGTGGAATCGCCCTTCTTTATTCCAGGAGGAAGGTTGGGCTTGGCTGCCTCGGGAGGATCAACCTTCAATGTGAACCGTACCACGTTCTCCAAGACCGCAAACGAGCCGGGCTCGGAACTGCCGTGGAGCGAAATGGCCTCAACTGAGATATTCGTCATAAGACCGCTAAATCCCTTGTTCTGTTGGAACCAATTCTCTTTGGAGGACCTAATAATACCGAGGGCTATATGAAAATAAAGTGTTAGAATGGTAATTAAGAAGGGAGAACGGAAATTAGCTCTTACGGATGTCGGACATGCGATAATCATCAGCCACCATACTGTTCATTTTTTCCGCATCGGCATTGGCGAAAGCTTCGAAGTACTCAGTAATGCGCGCCAGCAATACCTTGTCATCATGGTTTCGGATGCGGCCATTGTTAAATGCGGACGAGGTCGAAGCCATGTTGTATGATATGTGATTTCGGCGGTTTCTTTGTCGCAGTAGGTGTTGCAAAATGAGTATGGTTGCTGAAGAGTTGGGCAAGGAATCGAAGCCGTATTTATAATTTTATCTCTCAATTCGAGTAAATGCTAAATCAAAGGGTCCTCAAGTTCTCCAGCCCCCGGCTCTATGTGAAGTCGACCAAAAAGTGGTGGGGTTACCTACATTGTGCCCCTACGCGCAGTGTGTCACACTTCAGCTTCAAGCTGGGACCGGTTAACGCCACCTGGGCTTGCCGACTTTGGATAAAATTCAGTCATTGCCAGTTAACAAATAATGTACCTATTCCATGCGCCTGCGATTGCTGTGCAGGAAGGCTGCCGTGCTGAGACATTGCCCTGGCATGCACGTGCAACCATGCTAAGGCAAGATATTCCGACTTATCCAACATCAAGAGAACATTACCCGAGGAGCATACGTGTCGTGTGACACTTCAGCTTCAAACTACCACCGATTGTTTCCAGTTGAAGGCGGTTGCTTTGAGCATAGCCCTCTCATTACTAGTCAAATAATCGTATGCATTATGACACATTCTCACGATAGTGGTCTCGGAGTCTCCTGGTCTAACGCAACGCCACATATTTTCTATGCGTGATGATTCGGGAATACATTGAATCGGCGAATGATGCAGACTACTGTCGAGTTACAATTCGGTGCGGGTCTTTCCGCGGAAATGCTGCTGCCCGAAGAGAATGCGACTGCGCTGAGATGTATTCATCAGATCAAATTGGTACCTCAGATCATGGCTCACCTGAAACTAAATTGTGTCGCCGGTAGCCTGGAGGTCTATCACAGATCGACCCAGACCGCTAAGACCACGGTGGAAGAAGTATGCCTGGATCCAATGAACGATGCATCTGATTTTCCCAGAGAAGTTAACTGTTAGACAATTCAAGCTGTATATGCCGCACGATAACCAGCACATGCCTTTGTGGTGGGGCAATGTCGACCGCCGGAGGTGCCGATTGTTTGTAACAAATTTCGTAGGATTACCTAACAGGTTAATTTTTCTGGAGAAAGCAGATGCATCGAGGCTTCCACCCTGTTTTGTTTTAGCGGGGAAAGCCGTGGATGTCGTTTGTGATAGATCGCCAGGCTACCAGCTCCACAATTTAATTCCGAGTGATAGACAATACGCCGGTAAGCGGCATGGATGCGTCAAGACTTGATACATTGGGGCAAGCCCAGTCTAACTCCCAGCCCAACACCCCTCAATTTACTAGACCACGTAGGCATTTCAATCTGCAGTAGCGCCGATAATTGTCCTCGCGAAATGAGCCTTGCCTTAGCTGGGTGATGCTGTTGGCTAGTTGCTTCTCGTTGCCTTCTTTCGACGTCCTGAGGGACGTGTGAGCCTCGGCTTGGTATATTGGGGTTATCCCCTCCATCCTCAGGGCCGCTATGCGTGCTCGAGGGTCAACAACCATCCGGGTTCAATTGGCGCCTCCTGCGACGCAGTTGGACGGCGGATCGCACGAAGGAGTTGCTCATGTTTGGTGGACGATGGTCGGGAGATGGAACGTCATCTTCTGAAATATCGTCCAGAATGTCCGCAAGGATAACTTCCCACTTTGGTAGGGTATCTATTGCTTGTAACCCCCAGGCTTGATTTCGGGGCCGCAAGCGAAGTGCTTGGAGTGTAAATGCAGAGATTGACTCCTCCCAAGTTCTACGCCAATCCTGATATATCCATTTAGCCTAGGCCAGTAATCTCACCTTGTCATATGTATAGGATAACTACTTTAATCTAATAGTAGGATAGGCGAACTCATTGGACCCAATTCTAATTAGATGTTTGCTAGGGCCTAATATGCGCTTGTGGCTTGATCCTTGAGGACATAGCCCCAGCCACAGTAGATGCCGCGTCTCATAATCACGCTTATGATATAAGAGATAGGTTATCCACTGATTTTGTGGCCGATACGGCGCTAAAATGGCTTGGGGATGAGGTTTAGTTGTAGTACTTCTGTTACCCGTGTTGCCCGGTGGAAACGGGCTTTGTCCCAGGCAAGGTGGTGGTGTAGCCCCTGGTCGTAGAAAGACTTCAAGGTGCCAACATCGGCACAGCGTCCTATGATGGGCATTTCAGATTCATTGGCACTATGGTAAGTACAGTCATCTCCATCTACAATTTATGATCTTGAGCAACGTCACTAAGCAACACAAGGTTATTGTGGCTTCCTTGAAGACGATATATCCCTTTGGCTTAAATCCGAAGTGCTTGAGAAAATCGCTCCTTCCCTGCTTAAAAGTTACAACACAGATCCGAGTATATATTTCAGCGACAAGTAGAGCTCCAAAAAGCTAATTGCCACTCAAAGGTGCTATCCATTTTAAGAATCTCCCAGGTCCTAAGAAGGAAGCAGGCATGAAGTGTGCTAAGCCGATTAGCCCGCGACGCCGGCCACGTCGCTCCGTCAGAATTCGAAATCTACGCCAGATACAAGACTGAGATACCTAAAAACCTTTCATATATATCCTGGGTGTTCGAAATTGCCACCCGAAGATGAATGTGGACTTTGCAACTAAGTTTGATATTGTAAGAATATGTACCCTCTACCTCTGATGTAATACTCCCTAATCGCTTTTTGACGGAAAGTAGTTGACGGCCAATTTTTATTTAGGGGTTCGCTAGTACGCTTACTAGCTTGAATATTCTCTAATAGAGCATGCACGCCGCGCTGTGCAGCTTTAGCAACTTGGGCTGTAGTTGCACTAGTGCTTGTCAGGTCGGGCATCATGCGTTTGGTTAACTATAGGTAGCGAACTTGTTAAATGAATGTCACAATTAGTCAACATAGGCAGACTCACCATAGCAAAGGGGAGTAATTGCTGTTTCTGTCTTTAGATTTAGTATTTTGATCGAAGACTTCAGAAGATTGTAAATGATAGAGATAGGTATTCATTGTATTATATTTATATATCAGCATCTTTGATGTCCTTTGGCACGTCTATAGTCAGCAACCTAAGGAGTTGTGGATATGGGTTGAATTCCTAGGACGTCTAACTGGGTCTCTTGCGTAACAGGGTCTGGCTGGGCGCACGGCAGGCTAGGAACAAAGTTCGTTCTAAAGGGCTATGAATATCTCACGACATATATGTGTGGAGGATGTGCGCCATGAGTGACCTATATAGGATTTTCTAGAACACGGAGGCTCCTTTCGTTTACTTCCTCGCGCGATATCTTCTAGAGTCAAGGTTCTCCCGGCTTAGGCGTAAGGCTCACATAATTGAGCGTCCTATATACATAGAGGGTGGTAAAGGTTCCGGGTTCGTAGGAATATGGTGATATAGCGAATAAGAAAATAGCTCAAAATATAGCTACAATTATTAAGTTGGCTTCCGGACATTTTCGTAAGCTATTGTAGAGCCTACGGCTAGCTACTAGGAGCACTATATCTAGAGGATCATAAAGAAAATCCGATTGCTTATAGAAGTCTAGGTGCATACGCTTATTGGCAGAGAAGCGGTTCTCTTTCTCCACGTTTTGACGATCATCTCTGCTAGCCTCTGTACTAGGACATATTGGGGATCTCTAAGTAGACTGAACCAATCCTCCTAGCTTCGGTAGTCCTTCAAATCCCGGTTAGGAAATGGTAGGACCGAGAAGGCAAAGTATTTCTAGGAGCATCGATCGTAGAACGATAATATGATTAGGTGGCCAAACAGCAAAGCTCCATTATGTCGCAATTAATTGCAGGCATTTTACTAGGACTGAGTATCACATTGAAATTCCAGCCTTTTTTGATAGGACGATGGGTGCCATCTAAAAGTGGAGGGGTACACGTGATGGAGCTAGTGTGCTGAATTTTATTGACGTAGCTTGCTCAGGCTGCTAACCCAAGTTCTGCTCAGACTCAGTGAGCGGATCAGGGCGCTCAGGGGCGTGCTAGGATTTACTCAGTGAGAAAAAAGCGGAAAGGTCTGAGCACTAAAACGGAAAGGGAAGGCCAAGAACTGGCAGAGGAAATCAATTACATAGGTACGCACAGCAAAAGGGTCACAACTATATGTGTTTGACTGGCTTTATATAACACAACCATTTTCCCGAGGTCAGCTGTCGTCGGTTCAATATGCAAGGCTATATAATGGAGCGGGGATGGCGCGGTGTTTGCCCTGTCTGGGAAACACTGTGCCACGGCCTACTCTAGAGAGAAACCCCCTAACTGTGGTATTCGCCGAGAGGGTTCTGCTCGGGTGTGTAGATATGTAGGTTGGCGTGCAGACATGGGATCCTCCACTATTCTCAACTCTCTTCTTCAGACATGATCCAATTCGATTCACGCTCTATTATCGATACTATATAGAGCTGGGCTTTGACAACTGCTCTAGGGCTGCAGTACTACGAGGATTTTTGGTGCTGGTTTCCAGCGCTATGGCACCTTAGGCTGCAACACCTCACAGCAACCTTACTATGTGCCGATACGGTAGCATGGCTCTGTCAAGATTCGCCCAAATGCTAAGCTATCATAATAAAATACGCATTTTTTACCCTTAGCTCTCCATATGCTCAGTGGCGTCAATAATCCTTCGCTTCGATTCGAAATAGCGGCACAACAGTCTTGCATCACGGACTTCTCTCCTCCAATACAGGGTGCGGGGTTATAGCACTAAGAAGTATATGTCGTGCTCCGCACATCAAGCATTCAAGATCTCTACCTCAGCGGTTGGGACTAACCTTTACAGCCTTGAAATATTCCTATGGCTAAGCCACGGATAGTTTTATAAAGCACTAAGATTTGCACCCTTGAATTGGAACTTTCCAGTGAATTTTAAGGTGCGCATTATAGTGATTATAAGCGTACCGAGTAACGTTGTTGAGATCTCACATTGGATCACTAGTTTCATAAAGCCATATTTTCTTATCACTAGGCCTTCTAGATCATAGTTGATACAACCTTGGAACAATCAATCCACCGATACATTATCAAACCATGTTCGCTTACGCTGTTCAATTTCATCACCTAGTGCTGGAGAGGTGTCATCCATGGATTACTACATAGTAGTAACCTCAAGCACCTGAATCATAATCCAGAGAAATAGAGAAATGAAGGAACGCAACAAAAGGATGACTATATCAACTATATTAAATATATTGGAAAGCCCCACAAACAATACCGGAGCAACGGAAACGCGGGCCAACACAATATATAAGGACAAGCCATGGGTACATGTGTTGCGGGCTTTCCTAGAATTTTGTTCTTTTCTTTGAAGATTGCGAATTCTTTGACATTGCACATATTCTAAAGACCTATACAGCGGAGATTCCTACACTCAGACCGAATTCACTGTTGATGGTACACAGCCATCTACCACGAACCCGATGGGAAACCCGATGGGAAACCCGACACTAGGCGAGTGCTATCCACCTGAACAAGTAGGATTGAGATACTCATAATACAAATAGGGACCGGTACAACGAGCGGTGGTACCAATTGGGTCGGATACCTGACCACTCTATATAATGCCTCACCGGTACTCAGCTACAATTTCGCCGTTGGAGGAGCGACAATCGACAACTCTATTGTCGACACTAAGGTTAAGGATGTGACATCGCAAGTCAGGGACTTCGAGTTAGCATATAGCGAGAAGCCTATATCTGCGCCGTGGTCTTCAGATAATGCAGTGTTTGGGTTCTGGATTGGGATTAATGAGCATCGTGCCTTGATACACCTTTACCTATTATCTTCTAATGTCTTCAACTTGTAGCATCGGCTGGGGTCATCAAAATGCCCAACCTAGTGTGCTTGTGCCGACATTGATGGCCCAGTACAAATTTCTCATTGAAAAGTTATATGCGTCCGGCGGACGGAAATTTCTTTTCCTCAATGTGCCGCCTACAGATCGGAGTCCTATGGCCATCAAAGAGGGATCGGAAGCCGTTAAAACATACGCTACGTGGATGAAGGCTTACAATGACGGTCTTCAATCGATGATTAATGACCTTAAATCGAGTCATGATGATTTACGTTTTCATCTCTTATATTGTTTCCATAAAACTAACCTGGCCACAGACTACTATCGTTCTGTACGATACCTGGTCCTTTATGCCCAAGATCCTGGACGATCCTCAGACATATGGATTCCCGAATGCCATGTATTTCAATGAGAATGGCACCTCCTGTATTTGGTGGAACCATTATCACCCCGGGCAGAACCACCATAAACTACAAGCAGCGGATATGATTTAATACTTGCAGCCTCTCGGTGCTTGGTAGGCTGACCAAAGCGGAGCGAGATAGATAGAAGTGGGTTACACGAGGCGATTAAATAGAAGATCATATGTAGAATAAATGGCATTGTGAGAAATCCTCAACGTCGTCGTGGATATATACATAGTAGGATCAGCTCATCACCTCGTATATAGACCTCCGCAGAGCCCATAAAACCCAAAGCCCAGCCCGACCCAACCCGCAAATAGGTTGGGTTTTGGGGCCCGGTCCTTAGGCCAATCGATGGGCTATAGGCTTATACCTTGAGCCTACTATGTGTTAATAGGAGCCTAAATAGGCCCTAAATAATATAAACATACCGAGAATTTGGATACTAAGATAAGTTGAACCCCCCTTTTAGGATTAATTAAATTACCTTTATTTTATATCCGTTTCTTACTCTAATCCCCAAGATAATATTTTATTAAATTTAATAATCAAGAACTAGTTACTAGTATTCTCTCTATATTATATAAAAAGATACGATAAAACGTATTAATTAAGAAATTTTTTAAATTATAGAGGTTACTAGAAAGTAGTAGTACTTCCCTATAAAACTTAGATATATATCTAATATCAAAATATCAAAATTTACCTTTTCGGTTATATCTCGACCCTTACCGATCAGATTTTGTTTAAAATTAATACACGTACTTATAGTATTCCCTTTATTCTAAATTTAAAATTTGAACTTTATACGATCTGTAGAAGGTCGTAATATAACGATTATAGAGTCCGCTTTATTAGCGCCTATATAGGTTTTTATAGGGGCCCACGGCCTAACCCACGGTAGGCTATAGGTTGGGTTGGGCTTTAAAGGTTAAGCCTATAACCCACCGTAGGTTGGGCAATGGGCCTAGGGTCCGGGCCCATTTATGGCCTTTGCGGAGGTTTACTCGTATGATAGACGGACTTAACGGACTTAGCATATTGCATTTGATTGGCCCGGTCGAAATTTCGCACCACTTCGGTCGAACTTGACGGACGAACATGTATGAGAACTATTCAACGACCGTGGACTTCTTTTTTGTTCTGTTGTTTAAGATTACGTAGGTCAGATTTGAGCTCCAGGGGTGCGTCGGGTCTTCAGAGCTGTTGCGCCCCTTTCTCTGTCATCTTGTCTTACTCCTGAGATTACTCCCCTCCAGAGGACGATGCTACACAACCTACAACGATCACTGACCTGATCTTTAGCAACACAACGTCGATAAATGATTTTATCATTGCTCTTTTGCTGTACAGGCTAAGATGGAATCCTGGAAAGACCAAGAGCCGACGCGAAAGCGGATGAGAAAGGGGACTAGAAGTTGCACAGAGTGTATGCGTCGGAGAATATCTGATATGTCCGGGCTAATAGCGTTCAATTATAGGTCGGCGGCGCAAGATTCGATGCACATTCCACCCCAATCGCCCAGAAGTCTGCAATGAGTGTCGGTCCAGAGGCATGAAATGTGTTGATCAAGAACATGCGGTTATTACCCCTCCCTTATCCGGCTACCACCGGAACTCCGAAAATGGTGAACAGCCATACAGTCTTCGCGAGCGAGTTGCGCACCTGGAGAACCTTGTGGAGGGGTTGACCAAGCGACTAGACCAACGGGACTCTAGCACTCCGCCTTGTGAGCGCCATGGGATAAATAAAGGTTGGTATCGTTCAGATGCGTGTGGATTGATGTCGCGTGACTGATATTATTACCCAGCGGACGGTATAACAGCCCATTCAAGGTCACTAGCTACCGAGCCAGACGAACTAGGCCCATCCAGTGACCAGATTTGCAATGCACCGATACTCCAACTGTTTGACAACTATTTCGTGAGCCGCCAAGAGGACTCGTCAAATAATGATAAATTCGCCGGTGTTCAAGACATGTCGCCAAAGGCCGAAGCAGTGCGTACAGAACTCATGTCTCTCCTTCCTCCTAGAGAGGATATGGATAAGATAATCAACGCATCCTTGCATTGGTTCGTGTGGCAAGATCATTTCCCAGAGGTGTTCGTTCGACATGGTGACAGACTCGCTTTTAATAAGCATTGTTGCGATAATCTAGTGGCTCCTGCCGAAGTCGCTAAGGCACTCCTGTGCCTGTGTATTAGTGCAATTCATGCCCCGCCTGAATTTGAATTTGGTGCTTTAACCGTTCCCTTTGAACCTCAAAAATTCGCTGAACGATGCGTTGAGATGGTGGACCGGTTAATCGTCCGTGATGACAACTTCGCGGCTACCCTGCCCGGTATAGAATGTCAGATGTTGCTCCACAGGGTTCACTTGACTGATGGCCGGCTCCGGAAAGCTTGGCTGGTGATGCGTCGGGCGATCGAGTTTGCCCATTTAGCTGGAATGCATTTGTCCACCAAAGCGCCAAGGCAAGACGACTCTTTTTATGAAAGGCGCTTGAAAATCTGGTGTTCCCTGGCAACATCGGATCGATTCCTGAGTTTGATTCTTGGCCTACCTTATGGTATCAGCGATCCATTCTTTTTGCCACAGACGCAGCAACTTCTCAGTTCAAGCTTATCTGCCCCAGAGCAGTATGTGCTACGCATTGGCATCATCACGGGGCGTATGGTTGACCGAAACCAAGACTCTTCCAAGATGACTCTCGCGGCAACATTAAAACTAGACCAAGAGTTGCAGGATGCTTGGGAATCTATGCCAAGTCACTTCCAAGCCGCAGAGCCTTGTCAGGGTGAGAAACGGGAACACTATATGGAAAGGATCCCGTTGCAATTCATGCTCAAGCTATTGCGTGCTTTTCTCCATCTACCCCTGATGCTGCAATCTCCCCATGAGCCTCAGTTCCGTCCCTGCCACACGATCGCCATTCAATCGGCAAGAGAAGGACTCGTTATGTACAACTTTCTTCGATCCAACATCAAACCCTATTTGTGCAAAATGATCGACTTTATGGCCTTCACGCTATGTCTTCTTTTGATAATCCACCTGCATGGCTATTCCGATGAGATCCCAGATCAAAATAAAGAGCAAGATGAACATGACTGGGATATGGTAAAGAAGGTCGTTGAGATCCTTCGCCAGGCGGCAACAGAACAAGGAGGCTCGGTCGCTGCCGAATCTGCGAACATCCTCGGCGCCATCCATGCCACTAAAAATCTCGAGCGCGATTGGAGCTCCATCTCGAGTTGCAAAATTACAGTGCCCTATTTTGGTACTATTACGGTCGGTGCAGGAACCAAGTTCTCCACGGGTCCCCCCCAAAGCAAGGAGCAGACATCGGTAGTATCAGGCACAATGGGGACGGAGGCTTCTTGCCCGGAACAATGTCCTAGTCAGCTCTATACGCCGCCAATGTCTGACCCTGAAGGTGCACCAAGTACAAACACGGATGTCTTGAATGGTGCTTCCCTCACACCCACGATGGCGTCTGGATATCCAGACGAGTCATGGGCTTCGAGGAGTGAAACAGTGACAAACCCATATGTTGGCCTGGAGCTCAATGCGTTTAGTGGACTGTTCGACGATTTTGGGCAGTATATGTGGCCAAACCATAGTATTGACCTCGGACTTGATCAGGGCTGGAATCTGAACTGGTCAGATGGTGTGGCCCCACCATGAACTTAGATACCCCTGTGCCTTTAACTGCCTGGAATCTGTATATGCTGTAATATAAAACAATTGACAATACGTATTCAGTCGAAAGAAATGAGATTTTAATATTTTGTGGGTAAAATGCAATAGAATAGATTAAAAACGAAATCAAGAAATCAAGAAACCAAGAAATCATGTCCAGAGCCATGGAGTGGTCTAGAAGTGACGTTACCGGGGGGGTCAAAGGGGTTTATGTAAGACTGTTTTCCCCAGCAATCGACCTCGGGACTGATCATCTCAATGAACCCATGAAACAACCGTGTGATCCCTTAATCCTTCCTATTTTCCCCGTTTGATTAGTCTGTTACTTTTTTTTCCAGTTGCATGGTTCTCTAGATCCTAGTATATCTCCTTTATTTCAACTCGCTCTTGCCACCTCAATACCTCCCCTCCCCGAACATACTCAGAGCACAGGAAAATAAATATGGCTGAACGACGCCCCTCGGGGTTGGAAAGGAGTCCAACTGCGCCGTCGATTCTCTCAAATGGCCACTTTGCTTCGATCGGCGCCGAAGGTGATACTGCCTCGTATGAGCACGGCGTGCAAGTGATTGATGGGAATAAGGAGTTCAAGTATGGCCACCTCTGTTATGGTTCATCTAATTATGAGGCCTAGATGCTAATCGCATCACTATAGTCCCAACCTTTCCAAATACCTGTCCCTTGAGAATGTCACGCCGGCTGGTTTCAATTACCATCTCATCTCCGTGTTTGGTTCGCAATCCACCGGAAAGTCCACACTGCTCAACCACCTGTTCGGTACCGAGTTCTCCGTGATGTCGGAACTAGAGAGAAGGCAAACAACAAAGGGTATCTGGCTGTCGAACAACAAGAATCAGGGCGAAGCTGGTGCGGCAGAACGCATGGCTGATAACATCTTGGTCATGGACGTGGAGGGAACTGACGGTCGCGAGAGAGGCGAGGATCAAGACTTCGAGCGCAAGAGTGCGCTCTTTGCGCTTGCGACGAGTGAGGTCCTTATTGTCAACATCTGGGAACACCAGGTGGGATTATACCAAGGAGCCAACATGGGGTTGTTGAAGACCGTATTCGAAGTGAACTTGCAACTGTTCCTAAAGGATAAGCAGTATGTATCCTTCTGATCATCGTCTTCTCTATGCCTTTTGAGTTCTAATATCTCTACAGTACCACTCACCGGTCCCTCCTATTCTTCGTCATTCGTGATTTCATCGGTACCACACCACTCAAGAACCTGCAGAAGACATTGCTGGAAGACCTCTCCCGTCTCTGGGACACTATATCAAAACCTGCGGGCTTGGAGAAGTCCACAATTCACGATTACTTTGATTTCCAATTCTACGGACTGCCGCACAAGAGTTATCAACCCGACCAGTTTGTGGCGGAGGCAAAGAAGCTTGGCCTGCGTTTCCGGGAAGGTCACCGAGACCCGAAGAGGGATGCCCTCAAGGGCGAGTTTTCCGAAGGAGGAGTCTTCCTCCCCGAGTACCACCGCCGCATCCCGGCCGACGGATTCTCGCACTATGCAGAGGGAATTTGGGATCAGATCGTCAACAATAAAGACTTAGATTTGCCCACACAGCAGGAGCTGCTTGCGCAATTCCGTTGTGACGAAATTTTGCGCGAGGTAATGATCGGCTTCGATGAGGCGATTGTCGCATTTGAAGATAAACAGGCCGAGTCCGTGCGTGTTGGTGCGCCAGAGGTCCTAGGGGGACTTGGTGTTGCCATGCGTGCTGCGCGCGTCAAGACCCTAAAGAGTTTTGAAACGGAAGCTAGCCGGTACCACAAGGGCGTTTACCAACGGAAAAGCGCTGAGCTTCAGGGAAAAGTCGATACCCGCCTCAAGGCACTTTTCCACGGCCAGCTGTCGGCAGCTCACAAGTCTGGAATCCGCGACTTCAGTGATTCGGTAAGTGCTGCTGTGAAAGATGGCCAGAAGAAGGGCGGTAGCTACGACTTCGCCGAAATTGTCAGCAAGGAGGCCCAGTCTTCGTTGGAGAAGTTCGAGGAAGTCGCCCGCTCCACATTGGTGGATGGAGCCTCTTGGAGCAACTACAAGCAAGAGCTATCTTTGTACAAGAAAGAATTGGCTGAGGTCAGTGCCCGGCTGCGCCGTGATGAAATGAGACGCCTGGCCACCCGCGTCGAGCGGTGGGTTCAATCTCGTCTGGGTGAATCCGTGGGCCTGGAGTTCAATGCCCTCGGGTCTGGAAGAGCTGGCGGTGGTGCACCCGAGAATGGGGAGAAGCCTACAGAGAAGGACTTCTGGGATCGGATCTGGAACTTGTTTGAAGAGACTGTTCTGGATGCTGAGCGGAGATTCACGGACCGCGCGAGCAGCTTCGATGCTAGCATTGATGAGGTCGATGTTGGCCTTTGGCGACTGCGCCGTAAGTCTTGGGGTGTTCTCCGGGCCAAGATTGAAGAGGAGATGATTGAAGGAAACTTGCTCCTCAAGCTTCGAGAGAACTTCGAGGATAAATTCCGCTATGATGAAGCCGGTGTGCCGCGCATCTGGCGCCCAACTGATGACATCGAGGGCATTTACACCCGTGCGCGCGAGTCTACACTGACGGTGATTCCTCTTCTGTCTCGTTTCCGCCTGGAAAGGACTACTGCCCCACCCCCGCTTGACCGATGGATTGGACACACCCCAAGCACTGCGACACCGGCGGATGAGGAAGATCTGGCCCCCATTGGGGGTGTGGACGAACATGAGGGCAAGAGTTTGGAAGAAGAGATGACAATTCTTAGCGACACGAAGCGCCAAGAGCTCACTGTACGATTTAAGAAGGCCGCAGACGGTGTCTACGTCGAGGCCAAGCGGAGCGCCATCGGCGGTATGACACAGGTCCCCTTGTATTTCTACGGTTTGTTGCTGGCTCTAGGCTGGAACGAAATCTGGGCTGGTAAGTATTCATTGATGAAACCTTCATTTTCGCATATACTGACTAATCTTTAGTCCTGCGCAACCCGGCTTACTTTATCCTGCTATTTGCGTTTGCCATCGGGGCATACATCACCTATCAGCTCAATCTATGGGGTCCAATGCTAAAGATGACCGAGGCGGCCTCTCAACAAGCTCTGGAGGAAGGCAAGCGCCGCCTGCGTGAGTTCCTAGAATCCTCCGACACTGGCCGCCAGGCGATTGCTATGTCGGCTGGGGAGCGTGCTGGATCTTCGGGCCGAAAGGAAGAGTATGAGATGTCAGATATGCAAAAGGGTAGCTCGAACGCTACTGACGACCTGGATGACATGTAACTTTTCTTGTTTGCTGTACTCTTCTGGCGACCACCCTGTACTGTACTTTCTATATGCATACAACAATGGACTTTTCACTACATAGTACAATTAGTATCTCAATAGCGAATTTCAGTTACCCATGCATACATTGGATTCTGAGTCCCAGGCATTTGGGCTTTGTTCTGTTTGATCCGACTAAATCGGCAATCAGCTCTCATGGCGGGGGTCATACCCACGTCAAGGAACCGGACTTCCTCCGAAATGAGGGGGTATCTTCAACCGGTCTAGTATGTGTTGTCGATTTCACTACATAGATTGGCTTATCCTATTTGAAGTTTTGAAGTCATTCAGCTAATCTGTTTCCACGATCCCCTCCCCTTCCACCCCAAACCATGTCCGGCATTCCCAATCTCCCAGAGACATTTGATGATCTCCCCGACAAGCGTCGGTTCTGGCCTGAGGCTGCAGGGTCAGAGGAAGAGGGACTGGGGATGCTCCGCCTTCTAACGCCCAAGGTAGTTGCTCAAGCTGCGCGAACACAAATCCAGTCCGGCGAGCGGGTATGCTTAAACTGGAACATGGAGAATTTGAGCCCACCAGGTAAAACAAGGGCACCTGACCAACGAATAAAATAAAGAAAACCATAAGACTCACGACTCGAGAAACCAGGGTTCGGGCGCAAACCATTCGAGCACCGTGTCAAATGGGTCGCCGAGGGCGTTGCTTTCGACGACGAGTACCACTTCAACCCACAGCAGTCCTCCCAGTGGGATGGCCTCCGGCACCACAATGCACCAGCACCAACACCAGAAGACCAAGACCGACGCCTTTTCTATGGCGGCACGACCGCAAAGGAAATTTTAGATGAGAACTCGTCGCGGATTGGCATCGGATTTTGGGCAAAGAAGGGCATTGCTGGGCGCGGCGTGCTAATTGACTACGTCTCCTATGCGGAGAAGAAGGGCATCAGCGTAAACGCGCTAAGCCGGCAGATGATCTCACTAGATGAGGTGCAGGAGATCGCGCGCGAATGCAATATCAAATTCCAGAAGGGCGATATCTTTTTCTTGCGGGTTGGCTTGCCTGGGACGTGGGAGCGCATGTCGGCCGAGGATCGGGTGGCTTATAGTCAGCAGGGTATGCCGCAGCATGCTGGAATCGAACAGAGTGAGCGGGTGCTGCGCTTTATATGGGATCATCATTTTGCGGCTGTTGCGTCCGATGCTGTTAGCTTTGAGGTTTACCCGGCTCTGAACCCTGAGTTTGATTTGCATCATCATCTTCTGGCTGGTTGGGGTATTCCTATCGGGGAGATGTTTGATTTGGAGGAGTTGGCTACGACGTGCAAGCGTTTGGGTCGTTGGAGTTTCTTTATCTCCAGTAGTCCGTTGAACTGCACCCGGGGAGTGTCTAGTCCGCCTAACTGCATGGCTATTTTCTAGTCGCGTAATAAGTAGTGTCAATCCAAGGAAATTTGAAGCTATGGGCGGCAGCTCTTTTGCCCTGCATCTTCCTAGTGCTGGGGCTCTATATTTACTACCAACCTCAACCTCGACCACCACGACCACTCACCTACAATGGGGTAGCTGATAAATTCTCCTGCTTAAAGGCCAAACCAAGAACGTCTATTTGATGACTCCTGGAATTATTGACGCGATAGAGATAACCTGATGCTCACACAAGGCCAATGTGATCAGGCATTGCATTTCCGTGGAGAGTTTCTTGTTGATGGGAGAGGTCGAGTATGATTCGTGGTGAGTAGTCGAGAAATATATACATGTAATAGAATAGCCCAATTTATTGCTCATATTTCAGGTTTGTTCTCTTATGGCTCAAATTTTTCGTAGTTGATGCTTATACTAAACGCTTGAGTTGGGAATTATATAACTGGTTTACTGGATAGACCAACCCCGGTCAAGCCCAGTTGATACAACCAGGTGAAGATTGCTACAAGTAAAGCTACAAGTAAACTGGAGAGATGGCAGAACCTGTGCTTCATTCTTGTGAGAGATCAACATTTACCTGCCAAGACTGTTTTGATCCTCCCATACTCATTCCAACCCTTTTCCCCTTCCCTCCAGTGCCTTTGCTCCTTTGCTGTAAAATACTAAATACTAAATACTCAATTAAATTCCTACATTCCACATGCTCGAAAAGGTCGTGTGTTAAGACAATGTTCACCCAACCGCGACCGTCGCGTGCCATTGCTTCTTGGGAGTCTACTTAAATGCCATTAGACGCATTTCCCCGTTGGATTCCTCAACTTAAATATTCTCACACCATCGACACTCTCTTTGACGCCTTTCCTAACCGGAATCACTTTCTTTATCAAACAGCTACGCTCCTTGACCAAGATGCACTTCTCTAAGGTAATTCCACCCCTCTATGATATACACCGATACATACAACTTGCTAACACAACACAGACCCTTGCCACCGTGGCCACCTTCGCCATGACTGCCTACGCCAGCTTCCCTGTCGCCAGCGTCAGCTTCCAGTCCTGGGAGAAGTGCGACGTTGGCCACCCCGCTCTCGGCGAGCCCAAGTTCTCTGCCGATGTGAGCGCTACTCCAGTGACTTGTGACAAGACCACCGTCAACAGGGACTGGAGTATCGACAACTATTCCTTCCGCGCACGCATGGACACCAAGGACACCATCCTCTGCCACGGCGTGACCATCTGGAACAACGACGACTGCTCTGGCGAGCCTGTGCATTTCCTGCCTTTCCAACACGGCCCCTTCGCCGAGGGAGAGTGCCTCCCTGAGATCCTCGAGCCTGGCTTTGTCTCCTTCAAGCTGGCTTGTGAGGGTTTCCCTTAGGCGTAGATCTAATTTTCATGCAATGATGACTGTCGGGATTGCCAAATTGGATTCTATGGAGCTCTTGGATTGGCGATAGATATCTACATTCTTTTGTCGCCCATTTTCTCTCATGTATTCTTAGTTGGTTTTGACTCGCGGATATCTCCGTGGTATTACCAAGTACTTCCTGGGCTATATTTCCCATGACGTTATTCTTGATAGCATAACGTTTCCTACCGTCCAGAAACATCAGTCATTTGCTGCTCTTTTACACAGAAACTCATCTATAATCCATCTCCAAAACAGACGTTATATTTTTACCTTCGTCTCAGCCCTATAAGTAATGGAAGGCAAGAAGAAGAAGAAGAAGAGGAAGAAGAAAAGGGAGGGGATTCCTAGTCGTACATGGTCTATTAAGCAATAAGGGAATGAACGTAACGTTTAACTCCTTGAGACAAAATTTAACCTTGCTTTTGTCTGCTATATACCACCCGGACTATACTAGGTCAATATCTGCAGTGGTGATGTTGGTCTCGAACAAATCATACATTCCCTGTCTTCTGCTACTGCGGGTGTTACTTTCATGTTCTTGGGCTTCATGATGTGCATCGCTGTGATTTCTGCCTCTTTAGACTTCCGGAACAGATGCTGAGAGTGAGTCGTGCTTGGATGGAATGTCACTCGGGTTGATTGCCATGGATATAATGTGGAGGATGTGCAAACTGAACCTTAGAGTTATATCATGAGCTTTGCGTTTTGGTTCTTACGTGTTGAACTTGGAAGCATCTATGTTGGCTATAAAGCAAAAGTTCCTAATATACAGGGGTATCCTGTAGAATGAAGAAGATATATGCACAACTGAACAGATAAGACACCGGCCATCAAAACTAGAAAGATCCTGCACGCTCAATCGTGAATTGCAAAGATACCTCCCATCTTTGACCCCCAGTGCCATACCCGCCACCCAGCCTGTTACGAACCAAGCTGGTTATCTTCTCCCGTAGCCGGACAAGATTATCCTCAGAACCATTGACTCGGAGCTTGAGGTTTGCCATACATAGCCCATAATGGACCTGCCAAAATTGAGCGTCATCAATCCCGAACACAGCAGCATCCGCTTCAATATCCTTGATGACATCAGAAACTCCTTGGCCTGAGTAGGACATGAGAAGCATAGAACCTAGAGTCTTCACCAAGCGAGTTCCTAGGAAGCACATTGAGAAGGCAATGGTGCCAGACAGGAGCTTATCGAGCCAATCATAGATCCGGATTGAGACCAGAGGTAAAAGCAGCAGCAGAGTTGAACAAGAGAGGGTGAGGAAATGGGAGGGGTTGCTCAAGACCGATGGAAGAGATTGGATATACCCAAACCGCATAGCCTTCCCAATTCGAGCATGGTTCTTGAGACCAATTGCCGACACAAGCGTCGATGAAATGGCTAGAACTGCAGTCACATCCACACTACCCAGAGAAACACGATCATGGTCATGCAGGTGATGAGGCTCATGGCCAGCCTTTTCGAGGAAATGTTGTAGATTGTGGGAGATAAGATCCATTCCCATAAACAAAAGAAGCACTGCCATCGCGAATCCGGCTAGAACTTCTGCACGTTCAAGGCCAAATGGATGGCGGATAGTCGATCTTTTCCAAACTTCGAAATTGCCCAGCACATCAACCGCAACACACAAGAGAGCCCCGAGTGAATCAAACAGAATCAGATGCGACAATGCTGTCATGGCCAGGGACCCATGTGCGGTCCAGAGTGTGTACGCCGCAACGAACATATGGCATAGACTCCACCAGAAGCGGGTCTTTTGGTCCTTCGACATGCTAGATCGGCACTCTTTCAGTGTTGGCATAGGAAGGGAGTTCGGAAGGGCTAGGGGCGCGCGAGGAGGAGGCTCGAGGAATATCTGGTGCGAGATGCTACTGTGTTTGTATTTGTGGCCACGACGTTGTCCCATGTTCTGAAACACGAGGCAATAAGTTAGCATCACCATAATCACAGGCTATTGGTGCGATTCAACTCACCGATTTAATCACTGGGCTCTTCGCCATAACAGTAGTGTTGAAATTGAATGGCCCGGCGGGGGATGTGTCGCCCGAGCCATTCTCGATCGGTGTCTCTGCATATTCAGGCGAGGTTGCCAGATTAAAAGAGGTCTTCGTGGGGCTCAGAGTATCTCTGCTTCCAGCATCCATTATCCCTTTCGGAAATGAAGCGTTAAGCGGCGATAGGGAATTGCGATCGATGGGTATCCCTGAGTTGATCTGGGAGGCATGTTCGTCGTCCGCTGGAGGGGTGGGAGTGCGCGGCGGGAGAGGGAGAGGGAGAGGAAGGTTCGAAGCCATCGCGCTGGCTTTGCGAACAGAATGCCTTTATGAATTGATGGTTCCTATGTACACACACATCAGTACATATGGAGGTCCAGGCTGGGGCTATCAACCCCCCCGGACGAGCCCCCAGTATTTCTGCCGATCATCACGTGGGCGGCCTAAAGGCACCCGGAAACCTAAAAGCCTTAGCGCATTCCTGTATCTTAGCCTCTGAATTAGAGATTGAATGCATTGGAGTATGTTCGTGGGGATTATTTATACGAAAAGACGCGACATTGTAGTCTTAGTAGTTTCAAATGTGTTTAAATATTATTCGATACAAGCCTATTACCTGCAGAAACATGCACAAGTACGAAAGACTTCATTGGTTGTGATACCATAAGCGGGCGTGGGGTCCCGGGGCCTAGTTTCATACTGAGCGGCCATTTTTCGGACTTATGTCTCAATCACAGATATATATATATATATATATATACAGAGAGAAGTAGTTGCTATACGGGCACATCATATGGAGGGATTTAGGCAGATGAGAAGGTTTATCGGGGAGGACTCGGATATATATAGCAAGTATCTAAACTAGTTCACCATGGCTAAGACAAAATAGGCACAGTAAGAGCAAAATTTAATTTATTCAAAAGAAAAGTTGGGGATACACATCTAGTATATGAATGAATACCTGGTTATAAAATCAATTTGTTTCGCAACGCTCAGCAATAATTTACAAATTTACACTATTTCAATATATCGCTTCAACTCCCTATAATCGAGTTAGTATTACGTTCATCAGTGACACAAGATTTCCGACTTACCAATCAGTCACGGCCTCTCTCCAAAGACCCAGTTCATGCTGTCTTGTGGCTGTGAAGAAATTTACAAACTCCGAACTCAGAAGCTCCCGCGCAATGCTTCCTGGAGCAGAGAAACGGTCTAAAGCCTTGTCCAGAGTATTGGGTAGAAGCTCTGGACGGTCCCCTGGGGTGCGTGCAGACATCGGTGGGACCTTGATTTCGAGTTTTTTCTGTACACCCCTCCAGCCCGCTGCAAGGATGACACTCAGCGCGTAATGGGGATGCAGATCAGCCCCAGGAATGCGCACTTCAAAGCGCGTGGCACCTGGCTTGCATACTGGTGGTGTAATAAGGCGGATTGAGGCAATCCGGTCCTCGAGTCCCCAGCTAATGTGCACTGGTGCCCAGTAGTTTTCAACAAGGCGCTTATATGAGTTCACAGTCGGCGCAAACAATGGCATGATATCTGGCAGAGCTTCCAGAAGCCCGGCGAGGAAATGACGTCCTGTTTCG